TAGGGGTTACTGCTAGCTCTGGGGACTGGGGCTTTTGGTGGATGGGTAACATTTTATTTACATATTAATTATTTGCAAAATAAATATGCAAACAAAATGTTGCCTGTCCACCAAAAGCTTATGAATGGGGTTGCCGATCTCTGGTATAAAAAAGGTTGGGAACCACTGGGTTATGCCATTTCTCCAAACCAGCATAAATTATACAAGTACAGGCACTTTTATATTAAGTGCCTCTATTGCTAGAGGGTTTTACCACCATATCTATATTAGCTGGTCTCTTGTAATGCAGATAAGGCTTCAGTCTATATTACCCTGCCTTAGTGAGACACTTTAAGAACCAGATTTACCTACATCCCAAACACAAGCTCAGTTTCAGTTATTTTACATCAGAAATGCAGAACTGTGAGACTGAAGATAACCACACTTGCAAATTTCTTCTTGATTTTTTTTTTTATTATTATTATTTGCACATTAGGTTCTGTAATTCTTATCTCTCTTTTTCCTGTCCTTGATTCCTAATAAGCTGGTGTTAGTATTAGGAGACCTTCACATCCCACATCGATGCAACAGCCTCCCAGCTAAATTCAAAAAGCTGCTGGTCCCTGGAAAGATCCAGCACATCCTCTGCACTGGAAATCTCTGTACCAAGGAGAGCTATGACTACCTCAAGACTCTGGCTGGGGATGTCCATATTGTTAGAGGAGACTTTGATGAGGTAAAGGCCTCTCTCTAAAGACTTCTTTACAAAAGTCTCTTATGCAAGGATGACATTTTACTTATTTATAATTTTTACACCATTTAACAATTGATATGGTTACAATTAACAAAGAACAGGGTAAAAAGCAAAAATGCAGCATTTATGCTCATGACCAGTAAGAACTTAAACCTACAGGCAGTCCCCGAGTTATGCGGATCCGACTTATGTCGGATCCACAGTTACAAACGGGGCCCTTCCTCTCCCTGGTCTCCAGCAGACCAGGGAGAGGAAGCAAAGCCGCGGAGCACGCGGCCAGCTGACAGCCCAGACTGTACCACAGGCGTCCGGAGCAAAGCCGCGGAGCACGGGGGCAG